CATTAGCATGCAAGTCTTGTACCAGATGCAAGCACAGCTAAGTTCATCAAAGATAACAGGTAATTCTGAGTAATGACTAAATGGCACTCACAGGTATCTACTTTTTAAAAATGAAATGAATAGTTCTGGTTGTAATTACCAACTAGGGTTCTACATACAAAGCTATCATTTATGAATATTGAACTAGGCTTTATTTAACTATGCTAGGTATGTGTCAGTTTACTTTCCTAATGCCAAAAAAAAAAAAAAAATCTAGTCATTATCACTAGAACTATTTGTTAAAGTTGAAAGTAGATAAATCATTAATAAGGATGTCATTTATTCATTACATTTAAAATATATATATTCACTTGTCACTTTGATAAATCTAGTTTCTTGTCTCATCTCAGCTTATTGACATCGCAGATGAAAAGAGCTTCCTTACTGCATTCCTGTTGGAGCTTAAAGGCTTTACAATGGTTTATTGATGAACTACTATTTTGAAAATCAAGACTGCTGAGGCTTAAGATTGTAGTGACAATTACATGGTGTTTTGTTGCTAAGTTAACAATTTGCATGGGACTGATGATAGCTTGACATTAAGCAAATAAAGTATTATTATTGTAATTCAGTACAGAATTTTGTAGAAAACACTTTCTTGGACCAGTGCACAGATGTCAACAACAGTGCTGTGGTATCTTTTTCATGTGATAATTTAACTACTTATACACTATTACTCTTGGCAATTTTAACTGCCTGATGCAAATATAGAACTGCTGACTCCTGTGAGCACTAAGGCGTGTGAGTAACTGTTTCCAGAGGATTCGTTCTGCTGCAGGTTATTTATCTGTGTGAAGGAACTTGAAGGAACCATGTTTAGAGGCTGATCCTGGAAGACCCTGTAAGAGTTTACTTGGCAGCATACAAGCCTGAAAGACAATGTTCCTAGATGAGAAGATTTTTCAAATACATTTTAGTCCACTTATTGCTGTCTCTGATAATAGCTATATCCTCAACGGAAAACACCTTCAATATATCAACTATACTGAATTTATTTTGACTGAGCACTGATTTAACAAGAAAATTTGATAACTTAGTCACAACAACAGAGAACTGGGCAAAACCTGGTAATTCCCAACATACCCAGTACCAGGTGTCAGGAGTTGCTTTAAGATATTCAGGGTAACTCTGAAACATAGTATTTGCCTGACTCTGTTACTGCTTATATGAAAACATTCAATGCCTGTATTCAATGCATAAAATGTTGTACACTAAAGCAGGATATAGCCTGGGAATGCTGAACTCCTCACCTCTCACACCTGCAATTCTTCCACAATACATGCTTGTTCTTGAGAGGTACAGTTTGGGATTTGGTGCTACAGCTCTTGGGTTTTCATACATATCTTTCAGAGTGATATATAGACAATCCCAATCAAGGCTAATGTTTTGTTTCTTCTAGCTGGATGACTGAGAGAGAAAACTAGAAGAGCACTGCTCACTCCAGTCCTAGTTACTCAAGGCCATCCTGGCAGTAATGTGTGCCTTCTTGAAAGTGCAACTTGATGGACCAGCGGTATGTAGGCAGTACAACATTTAATATTTTATTTACCAAATGAAAATTAGCAGTTCTGATGCCTAATCAGACTTAATCATATGAGAAGATACATGCGCTCCAGGTTCCATTATGGCTCACTGGGAAACTGTCCATTCAGTGTTCATTCACTCCTTGAGTGAAGATCTTTAACAATATTAGCTTTGAATTACATCTTTTGGTTGAAGATTGGTCATGTGCTTGTGGTACTCCTAAGCTGTAATGATGAGAAAAGAAGGATCTCTGGTGCTTTCAGCTGTCTAGGAGCATAAGCACCCTACACAGAGCAGGAGAAAAAAGTTGCCTCTTCTAATTCTGATTAGTGCTGTGACAGAATCCTAGAGATTGCCAGATCTAACAAAATATTATACACTTTGATAAACCACATGCGCCTACACAACCCAGTGTGGTGCTGAGGGCAAATATAGATTGATGATACAAATCTCACAGGATAAAATACTAAGCTAATGCTTTAATACCCTGAGAGTGTTATTCACTGCTGACTAACTCAATACATTATTGTTTTATTTTTTTTAAGGAGGAAATGTTTGTCTCAAACTGCAAACAATGAGGGCATTTCCACAGCTTTGTTTCTTCTTGTTCCATACGGTTGCTTTACGTGTTGAGTCTATGTTGACTCCATTTCTACATTCTGCACAAACCACTGCTTTATGCTTTGTCACTTAAGACTGCCATCATTACGTGAGTCATGAACTGCAAATTTTGCAGTATACTATCATGGTTACCTTTGAACCTCACTGATGAAATGTATTGTTTTATTTTCATTGATTCTTATTTCATTCAGATGACTTCTGAGTATGTACAGAGTATATTATGCATTTCTATTTACAAAGTATTGTTACTGTCTTCATTACTAGTATTTTACTATATAGTCATAAATAATTTGAAAATGCATTTTTTCTCCATTTAAATCTACAAGTATTTGTTAATTTTAACCTTGTGCAAGATCATGAGATTTCTACTACATTGTATCTTTTTTCCATTTGTCTCAATGACACACCAACTATGATTACAAATTGTCCTGTGCATCCCAAAACTTCACTTGCCAAACACCAATAGACCATGTTCCGAATGACCAAGCTACCTTTCTCATTGTTTCAACATAAAATTGCTAAAAAGTAAACAATACATGTAACATATTTATCATGTTCTTTGTCCTTGGGATAACAAAAAAAAAAATCCACTGTTCCTGTAAACGTAGAGTAGTAGACAAGAGAAGTCTGTTTGGATATACTGAATATAAACACAGAAGCGAGCTGTCACATCTCAAAGGCACTGCTCAGTGCAAGAGGTCTGCTTCAGATCACAAGACACTGCTGCATCCACTGTGCTTCCTTCTGTTCACATTGCAGTGAATTCTGGGCCCGGTAGTCCTTGTGCAGCTTGTGCTGCACATTGTGTAGATGATCCAGCTGGGGACAAAGTGCTCTGCTGGATTCTCTATGGAACTAAGTGTACATTTTCTTTTGTTTTATCCCCAATAATTTTTTTTAATTATTATTATTTTTAATATTTACAAACTGGCAGCATTCTCTCTAGTCCTTCTGGGAGGGCTGGAATTGGTGCAGCAGGCTTTAAAACTCCATGCCAACAGCTTCACTTCTGAGTTGATGTTACCCACTGATGTACAGGTGATGTTGCATCCTTTCTGGCCTTAGCTTCTTCCAGTGGCTAGGAGTAAAACTATGCTAAGTCTCTAGATGAAAGGAGAAACTGACAAACTCAGCCTGATCTGTCTTGACAGATGGTTGGTGATGGGCAAAGAATCTCATTGCTCTTTTCCATGTTTGCTGAAGTACATTCAGCAGGCATGACAGACAAGTGTACAGGAAGCTTGATGAAGGATCGAGCATCCCAAAAGGAATATAAAATCTATCTGACTTTGCAGGTAAGAGGGTTAGAAAAGACAAGGCTCACCTAGAGTAGAATCTAATAAGGGATGTGAAGGGCAAACTTGATGATTTCTGTGCCTCCCTCTACCTAGAAAAACATTCTTCAAAAATCCCACTGAGATCGGTGGGAAAGTCTGGAAGAGAAAAGAAAGGTATAACCTGGTGGAGGACCAGGTTAAGGACTGTTTAAGCAATCAGCATGTATGTAAGTCAGCAGCTGGACTGGATGACTTCCAGAGGTCCCTTCTCACTCGGTGATTCTGTAATAACGGATATAATCTGCCTGGTCCACTGCACAGATCTAAGGACACCTGAAGTGAGCCATTTTCATCAGACTAAGTTTGCAGCAGATTGTAAGTGGATGTTACCTTTCCAGTAAAGAGCAGTAGGGTAGAAATATTGTGTGGGAAAGTACAGCTATGACTTCCAGTACAATACAGCTGTTTCCATGTCTCAGCATCGATCATCAGACATATTCTATCCCACAGTTTCTCACAGATAACCAAATGCTTACATTATTTTATTGCCAAATAGGACAAGTCTAGCATTGTCTGTAAACTTAGCTCAAGAGAGCACAGGTATCCCAGTCAAAGATGATTTATCTGAAAGACAGTAAAAAAAAGAGTTCACCAGGGCAGTAAGAACTGCTTATGAGAAATTAGGATGGGGTTGGGACTGAAGAATTGCAAGACAGAGCTTTAATCACAGGGGGCAGAAGGGTTGGAACTAGATGGTCCTTAAGGTCCCTTTCAATCCAATCCATCCTATGAATATTGCAGGACTGCTCCACAGGGAGCCATACAGACAGCCAGGAAGCCTCCAAGAACAGACCCTTCACTTCCATGGATCTGTCGATGCTTTTAAGTTTTTTCCTGAACCAAAGCCTTCATTCAGAACACAACTAAACTTAAGGAAAGTCTAGATCCCATTTCACATGGCTCAAGACCATTTCTTACTAGAACTGGGAAGTCTAGATATAAATCTTTGTCCAAAACAGTAATCTTCTTATATTTCATTATGAGCACCACAAGCCTCTGTGAAGTGGTCTCTATCAGAATAATAATAACAATGGGTTGTGACTATGCTCTCCATCTTAAGTTCACAACAGACTCACTAATACATTAAATCTTTGCCAGCCTTTGATTTACTGGTACTCACTAAGCCTTTCCACACAGCTGCTGACAGCCAGTAAGTCCCAGGTAGCACTAGCAACTGAGAAGGAAGGAAAACCAGATTCTAGTATCACATCTTTTCTATTCTTGACTATGGGAGTACATCATTTCAGGACGTGTTATCTCAACAAGCTGCTGAAGATAGTTCAAACTAATCTAATTTTGCCTTGCTTTGAACTGAATGGGTGTAAGTCTTAGCTGAGAGCTGTTAACTGACTACAAGGGCTCTTCTGCTCCATCTAGGGAGAAAATTCAAACAGGTGAATTTAATCTGTTTGATTTTTGTCTTCATAGGAACAGAAGTTCTCAGGTGGGCAATTACTGAACTACAGCCAGCAGCCATGACTCACAGATGAAAAGCAGCTAAGGACAATTTCTAATTTTTTCTTTTCAGTTTTGTTTGCCATACTCAAACTAGAAGGGGAAAAATGCTGAATTTGTTTATTCTGTTGCTGTGTTAACTTTGCATAAACTCTAAGGTAAATTCAACTAAACTAGGTTAGCAAAGTTAGATTAGACTTTTTGCCTTTTAGATGTCCAGAGATGAATGAAAATGGCTGCTCCCTTTAAAAGAGCTCAAGTTTGATTCAGTTCTTGTTGTGGGTAGAGAAATTCTGCTTTTTGACAATAACTTATGAGCTGAAGGATAAAAATATAAAGTGCTCTCATCTCTAGCAGAATCAGTGCATGCTCTTGGGAGGTGGCCTTTCCTAGCAGCTACTTCAGACCGTACGTGCTTAAGATTATCACTGCACGCAGCTATGGATAATACTTTTACTGGGTGTGTATTTTCAACATTCATATTCTTTCTCTGCACCTTTGCACAAGTGCAAACTTTTGTTTCCACAAAGCAAATCTGTATGCTAGTCAACTAATAACTATGTATATAACCTTAGTAAATAACCAGATGTTTGGAGCATGTTTGTCTTCCTTTCAATGTTATAGTAGAGAACAAAGTTGTATAAAATAAGTACAAATGCTTCATTTTGTTTCCTCTTTATTGGGAATAAATTCTTCTTAATTTTTCTTCAGGTAATAACACCAATGAGTTCTTGTGCTGTTACACTCAGCATCCACATAATACGCTATTAACTTGTCACAGATGGATGTGGCTATCTACCACTGAATCACTGAGTGAGCGCTGTCTCATATCCTAGTGGCTTCCTATAGGAAAATAACATTGTGGTGGTGGGGTGGAGGGAGAAAACAAAAACACACCTGATATATCTGGAATTATAAGGAGGTAGCTAAGCTGTTTTTTCTGAACTTCAACAGCACCGCACAAAGGTCTGTGCTTGTGGACTTTTTCCCAGTCAGAGCTCAGCAAATATTTTTAAAATTAGCTCCAGATTTATTTTGTTTTTACTATTTTTGTTGCTAGAGAGCCATCTTGTGGTGGATCTTGAACAAATAAAATAGAAGCCATCAGTTCAGAAATTACGCTCTGCGAAGATTCTGGTGGTGGCTTTGCATCTTTCACATACCTGCACTTCTCAAAGCTCCTTTTGAAATGAAAATAATCTAATCTCAAATTACATTTCTGAGTCATAGTAATATTTGTTAGGGCCTGGGGAGGAGGGCATGTTTCTCTTTACTGTCTTTTAAAGAACTAAATTGAAAGGATTTGGAGTGCTAACAAAAAGCTACAACTTACAATACAGATTTATCCATTCCCTAACAGATAATGTACTGATTATGGAAGGAAGCAGATGGCCTAGTTTTATTAATGTAATATGTACGGGGGCTTTTTTAGGGTTTTTTGGTTTTTTTGTTTGTTTGGTTGGTTGGTTTTTTGTGGGTTTTTTTTTTTTTTTTTCAGCCAAAAGACTTATTAAGTATTCCAGAATCTCTTAAAATTCTAACATTACCTGTTGCCTAGAGTTCTATGAAAAACTGTTTGTCATTGGGATGCTTGCAGATCACAAGACTTATTTGCCATCATGAAAATTTTGCATTATGCTCTGAATTCCTGTTTTTCAAATCTGTGGCTAACTAAAAGATGGAATCATATGAAGTAGAACCAATAAAACCATTCTAAAAGCTCTCAATTTTGGTGGGTTTCCCCTTCTGTAAGACAGAAATGCACATATGGTGCCAAATAAAAGTGTTGCATGCAAAAAGTTACCATGCTTCTGAAAAAGACAACATTCAGAGGAAAAACAAAATTAAAAAAAAAAGTCTATCCATAAAATGGAATGCATTAACACATTGACTGTTTTCCCTCTGTAGCTTTGTATAAGAAACTTACAATTTTTTTCTGTATGTATATAACTGCTCCCTTGTCCATTAATAACCTATAATTATCCTTTGTCCTCTCATTGAAAGGAGAAAAGCACTGTGTAGCCAATGATGAAGAAGTAATTACAGAGGGTTCTTACACTAGTATGCAATAATTAACACTACCTCTTAAAACTTCAGGTTTAAAATTTAAAAAGCATGGTATTACACAAGAGCCTCTGCAGGAGTTGTTTAATTACTCTCCTTTGCTCATCTTTCCTGTTGGTTGTTCTAGGTGGATAACAGGCTTCCACTGGGTGTAACAACAACAACAAAAAGTCAAAGAATGAAGACTGTTTAAGAATTTAATAAGGAAGCAACACTGAGGTGAATTCCAGAAAGTACCTGTGGGACACAAGTTGGAGAACAGACAGATGTGATCCTTGGAGCAATCTTGCTTAAAATCTGTCTTCCATGAAAATGCTTTGATTGACAGTTTAATTTTATAATGGTAACAAGTTCAACAGTCTTGCTACTTTGTATGAGTTTTAAGCAAGTAAATGGGTCCCAGAGTTTACTTCAGGCTCTCTAGCACAGTGCTGGAAATGCAGCTTCAGTGTCAAACGAAGCGTGACCAGCAGGGCAAAGTGAGTGGCTGTTCACCTCTATTCTTCCCTTGTGACACTTCATTTGCAGTACTGCATTCAGCTCTGGAGGCACCAACGTGAGGACACGAAGTTGTTGCAGTGAGCCCTGAAGAAGGCCAAAAAGATGATCAGAGGGGTGGAGCACGTATAAAGGTAGGCTAAGAGTGTTGAGGCTCTGGGTAAGGAGTCTCTGGGGAGACTGTATAGTGGCCTTCCAGTATTCGAAAGGGGCCTCAATCTCAAGATGAGGAGAGATGCTTTATCAGGGACTGTAGTAATAGGACAATGGGTAACAGCTTTAAACTAAAAGGGGGTAGATACGGATAAGGTATTACAAATAAATTCTTCATTCAGAGGGCAGTGAGGCATTTGCACAGCTGCCCATGTAAGCTGTGGTGCCCCATCCCTGGAGATGCTCAAGGCCAGGTTGGATGGGGCCTTGGGCAGCTGAGCTGAGGGGGGGCAGCCCTGCCCATGGCACAGGGTGGGACTGGGTGGGCTTTGAGGTCCCTTCCAACCCAGATGTATGATTCTCTGAATTTTAGCACATAAATCGTTGATATAAATTTTAGAAAACGTAACCAGGTATTTTCCTTCCTCACTTACAGCAAATGCTTGATCCACAAAATGGGAAGTTTGTTACTGTGGTCTCATCAACACTGTCATGAAGAAGCCAGTTTCATTACAAGTAAAGGTCTACACCTTGTAACAGTGTGATCAGACAAAGACCTGGCATTTATATGATAATCTCTGAGCAGTGAGTGATGCATACTAAGCGTGTCCTTTGGTCAAGATTGTCCCTTGCAACTGAAAATAACATGCTTTAACTTAAGAGTTTTGAGGAATCTGGAATTTAAAGCACTGATACCATAAAGCTAGTCACTGTTCTTTGGGGCAGGTTCTGGCACCAGGGCCTCTTCAGTACCCTAACCATGATGTAAAGCTGTTTTTCCTGGCAAATGGACTGGAGAAATATATGGTACAAACAACTAGTCTTCCCCAAACGATGCTCATCTCTAGAGCTGGAAAACAGAATATGCACTGCAAAAAAAGTAGTGACATGAAACTGATGAGCTTGACTGCTGCTGCCTACAGTATACATCATTTTTCTTTTGTCCACATTTGTATAAATGTCACGCAGTGCTGCTAATATGAATAGTCGATGCCAAGTCTCTTTCTCTGCTGAAGAAGAGAACAACTGCAGCAGAGAAGTGAGTGTATGGCTCCAAACCTGACTGTAGCTGTAAAAAAAGGATTTTGGAATTGTTGTTGGGAATGTCTTCAGGACCAGTAGCAGCCTCCGCTTCTTCAACAGTGCTTAATATGAAAGAACAACCAAAGCAGTGATGGATAGGGCCTTGCTATACTGAAATCAGAGGAGAAAAAAAGAGAACAAATTTCCAATTAGCTTAAATGGTGTTGGGATTCCTAGCAGAGGTATATAATGCGGAGTGTTTTCTGATTCACGTTCCAATTTCTGGATCATAACATCATTCTGGGTTGTATAATTTCCACTGTGCTATTAAAAAGAGGGGAAACTGAAAGCTGAACACGCAGGATTGTATGGTTTCTAAACTTTGCTTCAGAATCTTACCTGTGCTTTCATTGTTAGCCTGCTCTCTTGGGCACTCTCACTTGCTTACATATTCCCTTAAGACAATCTTTACATGAGACATTGACAGAATTTTTACAGAGGTGATAAATCTTTTTCCTAGGCTACTAATCCACTATATTTTATTGTTTACTCAAGCATTTCTTTTCCAGACTTTGAAAGCAATTCAGGTACAGCGTCATTCTTACCTTCATTTTCTTGACGTGGAGAGAAATCTTTAAAATTTTTAACCAGATCTTTGCATGAACTGTGGATAATGCTTGGTCTGTCTTTCAACATCAGTTTCACATCTCTGTTACCCTTGCTAACTGAAGAAATGGTCTATCTGAATCGGAGGAACAATGACATGTCTTTCCTTCTTCACTAGAGAACAGTAAAATCAAACAAATGAAACAGAAATAACTCTACTTTCTTAATACTACATGTTTTACCTCTGTAACGGTTTCATTTATCATAATATATGAATATTGACACATCGTCATTTACTTCTATTCCTAAGCATATTTATAATTATTACAGACAAGTTCATTTAAAGCCAGAAATTTGTGCTACTACTTTCTGCTAGAACAACGTAGAAAAACTTTCTTCTTTTATTCCTGCCTGTCCTTAACATGAGCAGAATTAGCAGGTAATGAAATATATTAGGAAGGATTGAGTGTTAACTGTAAGAACCCAGCGCTCCACTTGTTATTTTAAAAACAATGAGTGTCACATTTAAGATGATAATGAGCATCAGAGCTGAAGTGAGATTAGAAACTTTTAAGTGAGCCTTAATTACGTTTCTCAATTCTCAGTAATCGCCTGACAGTAAATCCCTACTACGCCATTCAGAGCAGAATACGAGAGGGCTCTTTGTGTTTTCCTTTCTTAAAATACTGCAAGGGCTTTCTGCAGGATTTTCCTGTTATCTTTTATTCACCATGTCACTAATTAAGGGTTCAAAACTAAGTGGCCGAGGATATGCCTCCTCTAATTACACATCATAAACTGTCTACTGTATTTTGTAGCTTTATTCTGAGTTTCTCAGGCTACGTTTAGAAGCAAAAGGTCTCAAATTCAGTTTGATATCATGAATAATTCACTTATTTCCTCGTACTCGCTTCTAAGAAACTGCCTAGGTTTAATATACTGTAGTCAATAGGCAGCACCTAGTGGTCTTGAAATGCATACACTTTTCAAGTTCTTAGCAGTTCAACATCTCAAAATAAGCACTTCATGAACTAAAAGCAATAATTAGGTTTCATATGTGTATGTGTGCTTGTATATATGTTTGCAGGGGAAAGAAAATATTCAATTTCTGACTCTTTCTGAGGTCTAGATCTTCATGTATAGGGAATTTTTTCTGTATTAATTCAGAGATTTATATAAGATAAGAAAAATCTTGAGGTTTTTAAAAGTCACTTGTTACAATAGAGCTGATCTATATAATGACTTTGCATTTAAGAAGAAAAACAATATCTGCCATTCTTTGTAATGAATATATTTTTTAATATATTTTTAATATACTTTAATATATTAATCCAATTGAGACTCTTCAATTTTAAACTCCAGGCTTACAATCATGGTACCTGGCAGTACTGATGATCAAACTTCAGAGATGATTTTAACTAAAATGAATTTAAAAGAAAAAGCTATCTAAAAAACAGCTCTCTGTAATTGCTAAGAAAAGAACAAATTAAAAGGAGGAAAGTTGGTCAGTTAAGCTTATTATAACAAACTGATATCCGTAAGATTGCATACCTCAAAGATATGTTTCATCTTTAATCATGTTACAATAGTTGGATCATTAACTTTAGGTTTTTTCCCAATAATTTGTTTACAGATCCATCACGCAGGATTTTTTTTTGCCTTCTACTGAGTTTCTCACTTCAATAGCAAGTATATTATATCTGAGTCTATGTGAAGTATTGCTAGAAATAGGAGTGAGATAAACAGGCTTGCATCAGCAAAAATACTCCTTGCATTTTTCAGTGCTCTTCTGTAGTTTATTGCAAACTTTGATTCAGAAAAAAATAAATAATGCACCAGTAAAAATCCAATCTGATTCCATCAAGAAGACAGTCTGTATTTCTATTTTTGGGTGCCATGAAAGGTCATAACATGGAATGACCAACAAAACAGTAGTAAAGCCTCTTGATCGCCATGGATGGATAGAGTTTCATAGTTCTTAGACGTGTACTGAAGCTTTCAAAACTGCTGTCTTCTTTTAAAATGAATCTTGTTACATTCAAAACAAATAAAATACTGTAAAACTGAATGTAAAGCGTGCCTACAAAATTAAATCTGAAGCCACTGTACAACTACAAAGCTGCTCCACTGAAACTAATGAAAAGAAAGGCATTGTTCCTTTGATAATAATTCTTTGTGAACCAAGGAATTCAGCAAAATAACTTTCTAAGACATCTTTTCATAGGAGATGAGGAGCTTGTTGCCTTCAAAAAACAGACTTGTTCTTGTGGAAGACTACACAAATCCATAGCTGAAATGTGTAGGTGCTCTACATTTCCGTATTTGTTAAAAGCAGGGACTTGAGTGCCTCTTTCCCCAGTCTTACCTAAACTATGTCTTACTTAGAATTATTAGAATCTTAAAACTGTACAATGCCCCAAGTTGGAAGTGACTCACAAGGATCATTGAGTCCAGCTCCTGGCTCCACACAGGACCACCTAAAAATCAATCTATATTTCTGAGAGTATTGGCCAAACACCTCTTGAACTGCAGCAGGCTCGAGGTGAGGCTACACAGAGCTCCCCCAGTGGCAGTGCTGGCCCTGATACACCCCAAAGTGTGCTTGGCTCTTCTAGATGCCTGGGCACACTGCTGACTCTTGTCAGAGTCACTGCTGACTTTGCTGTCAGCTACAACCCTCAGATTCCTTTCCACGGGAGTGCCTTCATGCCTCTTATCCTCAGCCTGTGGAATGGCTTGGGTTGGAAGAGACCTCAAGAGTCATGAATCTCCAACTCCCCCCTGCCACATGCAGGGCCACAAACCTCCATATCTAATACTAGACCAGGCTGTTCAGGGCCCCATCCAACCTGGCCTTGAACATTTCTAGGGATGGGACATCCACGACCTTGCTGAGCAGCCTGTACCAGCACATCACCACTCTCTTGGTAAAGTACTTAACCATTAAAGAGACTTCTTTCCATCCATCTCTCCTAAGAACTCCCATGTGTGTAGAAATCAATCCTATTCCAGGACTATGTGGAAATCCATGGTGTTGCCTGTTTACTCATGCATAAAGAAAGGTTTGAACTACATGTACACAGCTTGTGTGCACAGGATGCAACATCCGTTAAAGGAAAAGTCGTTCAGAAGTGACAGTGATGAGAACACACCCCACTCTTACACTAATGCTAGTAAAGTCCCCCTTCCCATAAAATCTTTTTATTGTCTTCATACAGATTTTGAGGTGCAATCAACAGCCATCTCATACTATTGATTTCTAGCCAAACTCCCCACCAAAATCAATGAGGAGATCTGCTTAAAATCAATAGTGCAATAAAGACCATGCAGAGCTGTTTGTAGCTTCTAATTTTTGTTTGGTTTCTACTTTGATTTAATCATACTCAATCTGACGTGTTGATACTGGATAATAAATATCCCGTGTGTGTATAGAATTTGTAAAAAAAATGAGAACAATATGGATGCAATGATGCTAATATTGAATTTTCAGGGAGGGAAAGACATTAAGGAACTGGAATAGGTATCACTGCAGTATCACTAAGAACTGCTAACATTTCAAATCTAAGAATGTGTTCTGGTAGCCTAGGAAAAATGTTTTTCAAGTTCACTCAAACAGCAAGTAAAAAAATTTAAGTCCAGAAACAAATGCATTTAAAAAGGGTTTTACTGCTCAGAATAAAAAATAATTTAGAAAGCATATCTCAAATTCACATGGGAATCACAGTTGATCATCCTGGAAAAAGAGGGAAATGCTGATGAATTTTCCAAATACAGGCAAAAAAAAGGTAACTGATTTTTTTCCAGAAAAAAAAAAAGTTGCTAAAAGATACAGAACATTGATATCTTTCCACAAATTTACAGAATAGAAAAAGGAGCAATGAGGTTAACAGAAGCTAAAATTCAGTCTTGCAATATAGAAGTCATTGAGTTCATTTGCATTTGAGAAAGGATTGTCTGTAAAGCACACTGTGTTTGTTAACACACATTGTTTTTCCTTCCCCAGCAGAACACTTATGAGATTGCTTTGGAGGGAGGATCAGGGTTCTGCTTTAGATTCTGAAGAAGCTATTTAAAACTTTGCAGGCTGCCTGGGAGAGACATAATAGCTATATTTCTGTACTGACCCATTCTTACTGGATAGCTCATGACTACTGTTTCTGGAATTACTCTCCTGAGTTGACATAACTTTTCCCATGTGCTACACTACAAGATTTGAAATCTTGGTTTTGAACTCCACTCTGGTATTACGTGCAGATAAGCCCCCATCTTGTATTCATTCAGTGTTCAGGTTGGTTATTAGGAAAAGGTTCTTTGCTAAGAGGCCTGCTCTAACATTGGAACAGCTTCCCTAAGAAAGTGGGGCACCAAGTTGCTGAGTTCAAGAAGCCTCTGGACAATGGTCTCAGGCATATGGTCTGATTTTTGGGTGGTCCTGTGTGGAACCAGAAGTTGAACACAATGATCTTTGGGAGTCCCTTGCAAGCTGGTTTATTCTATAATCCTATTCTATGATTCTATGATTTTGACTACCATAGTCCTAAAAACCATTTTGCCACCCTTTACAAAAAAGCAATATTAAACCAGTTTGCAACAGGCTCAAAGCTTAACACATCAAATAATCATCTAAAATTTTTCAAATCATTGTAAAATACTACATAGCCAAAAATAACAGGGCCTCAGTCTCCCATCTATAACATAGGTATAATAAAAACTTAAATGGGTATTGAAAAGATTTGTGAATTATAATAGTAACATAGTTCACGTATGTATCTCAGAAAAGACTATGGAAAAGAATGATTAAAGAGACATATAAATTAACTGTGGTGATGTACTTAACTGACTTGCAAGAGCTCCTTCCACTGAAAAGGTGACCAGCCTGTCAATATTCTATCAATATCCTTCACACTGAGAGACACTGGTTTTAACAGCCACATAGGCTGTTCTAGTCAATCAACCCTATTCTCTTCCTACTTTCCAAAGGAATACTTTTAAACATATTTTTTTAAAATAAATTCAACCTGGACTAAACCTGAAAACATATAAGACACAGTGGAAGGCAAAACAAACTGCATGCAATAAAACTACATAGCAGGAATAGCTTAGGCTTGGAGGATGACAGATGACATATAGGAAAGATCCACTAAAGGATGCACTGCAGAAACTAACTGTACAAACACAAAATCACAGAATCATAGAACAGCTTGGGTTGGAAGGGACCTCAAGGATCATCAAGTTTCAACCCCTCTGCCACAGGCAGGGTTATCAGCTGCTAGATCAAGTACTAGATCAGATTATCTAGAGCCCCATCCAATCTGGCCTTAAACACCATCAGGGATGGGACACCCACAGTCTCTCTGGGCAATGTGTTCCTGCACTTCACCACTCATTCACTAAACACTTCCCTCTGACATCCAATCTGAATCTCCCCTCCTTGAGTTTAAAATCATTTCTCCTTGTCCTACCACTATCTACCCATGTCAAAAGTTGATTTCCCTCATGTTTATAAACTCTTTCTAAACAGTGGAAGGCCACAATGAGGTCTCCCCACAGCCTTCTCTTTTCCAGGCTGAACAAACCCAGTTCCTTCACCCTGTCTTCATAGGAGAGGGGCTCCAGCCCTTGGATCATCTCTGTGGCTCTCCTCTGGACCCTTTCCAAATAGCCATCTCCAAACCACTTATCAGATTGCAGCAACTGTTCTGTCACATTTATAATCCTAAACGTGTACGAGCTGCACTAAGACTGTCTGGGATGTACAGAAGGAATGGGATGATTAAATGAAATTTGCCCTAGGAACACAGCTAAAAATATATTGAAACAACTTTTTCTTTTTTTTCTTTCCCACCCATTTACTTATTAAAAAAAAAAAAAAAATTAGTCTTTCTTTTTCTTTTCTTTTTTGTTTTATTCTTTTGCCTTTGAAGAGATCGAGAGCTCTTGTTCTCTTTCAACCATGTAGTGTACAGATTCTGTGAGTTTTGCCCCAAGTTTTTTTCTGCTAGCCAATACCACACTCATTTGTAATGAAAACATTGCAGCTGAGACTGCACTACCTGCTGGCATATTGATTGTTTTTCACCAATTATGAGGAAATAAAAATTACGACTCTTTCTCTGCCTTTCAAACTCGTTTTTGATTGTTTTCATTTTCCATGTTGATATTTTACTTACGTACATAAATTAGCGGAAGTATTGGTCAAGGTATCCATAAAAGTTGTTCACCTTTACTAAACATGATTTGTAC